CAGGAATTAATTGAATGAGTAAAGCTCGGAAAATGCCCCAAAATGGTCTATGCTAAACCATACATATTCGTTATAATCAATGCAAACCTGTATTTTAACAGGAAATATCATATTACTTAAGTATTTATTTCAAATTCAGAATATGCTGAATTAAAAATATTTGTCAGATAAAATCTCCTAGGCAGTTGTCTTGTGATCTACATTAGTTTCTAAAAATACTAAAAAAAATATATCTTCAATATTACCAATATCAAGTTTACAAAAGATTTCATTTTATCATATAAATAGGAAATGTGCAGCTTAATCTTCCGTTCTAGTCAAACAAAGACGCTTTCCCAGTATTAACGATGAGAAAATTTTTTATGGTTCTTATATAAATATTGATTAAATAAAAGAAAGTTTACAATCGTCACTAAAATGTAGCATAAATCTTCGCCCCATTCATATATGACAGAACAAAAATGTAACAGTATCTGCATAATAATTAAACGGTATAACCGAAACGGGATACATGTTCGAGACCTTACTGGCCTAATACCCGGATGTGCGACATGCACCCCAACAAGTATATATAACTGCAGTTTAGGACTGCTGGTTTAAAGTAGGACAACAGACATGAAATATACAAATAAAACTCATGTACAATACACAGACATACACATATACGACAGAACAAAAATGTAACAGTATCTGCATAATAATTAAACGGTATAACAGAGACGGGATACTTGTTCAAGACCTTACTGGCCTAAGACACGGATGTGCGACATGCACCCCAACAAGTATAACTGCAGTTTAGGACTGCTGCGTTATAGTAGGACAACAGACATGAAATATACAAATAAAACCCATGTACAATACACAGACATACACATATACGACAGAACAAAAATGTAACAGTATCTGCATAATAATTAAACGGTATAACCGAAACGGGATACATGTTCAAGACCTTACAGGCCTAAGACACGAATGTGCGACATGTACCCCAACAAGTATAACTGCAGTTTAGGACTGCTGCGTTATAGTAGGACAACAGACATGAAATACACAAATAAAACTCTTGTCCAATACACAGGACAAAGAGGTATAGCACAACGACGATATGTACAATAGTCAGTCTCCCGACATAGATGAGAAAGAAGTATTGTGATAATATTCAAGCATAATTGTTGGTGATGGCTTATAATGCATTGTCAAGTAACGTCCCTAATGATTGATTGTGCTATCTGTCTAGTGCTAACGTGTCGCAGTTGCGTCACTCGCTAAAGATCGATAAGTATGTTGATAGATATTTGTCTGTTTGTCTGTCTGTTAGATGCACGCGATATCTCACGAAGGTGGTTAAATCTGCTCCAAATTTTGCATGTGCATTCATCATATCTCGGACCAGGAGCCTATTGATTTTGGATGAATTATGTCGTATAATTAGCATGTTATTAACTAATTAGTGATGGGACACTTGGTGTCACCATAAAGTCATGAATCGAAACAGCAGTTTCGATCGATAAGTTTTCGGTTTCCGACCGATATTCTCGTTTGTTCTGTTGCTGTAAGCACCTTATGTTGTGTGTTATGCTGGTGTAATAAAGAAGTGTAAGCGTATTCAGTTGAACCCTTATTCCATAATAGCTTGGATATAGGACTTAACATATAACCAAGACATTATTAACATGGTGGCGGCGGTATCTGAAATTCGCTCAATCAATTTCTAGCTCTTCTAGAAATAAGAAATACGCCGCGTCAAGACTTGACCAGTAGTCCTTCAAAGCTGATGTTTGGTCGATCAACCAGATCGATTATACCTACAATTACGAAACCAAACAACCAGAACGGAAGGGATGGAATAGAGAAACTATTGTGAAACGAATTGCTACAGGATCTTACATTGTCAAATCGAAGAATGGTGTTACGTTACATAGGGATGTAAGTTTCGAATATTTTATTTTCGAATCGAATTCCGAATCGGAATGTTCCGATTCGAATATTTTCGAATCTGATTCTATTTAGTATTACATCATATTATCGTTAACTCTCCTTAGATTTGAAAGAACTATAGCATAAAGAGTGATTAAATAACAATAATGAACTTGAGGTATGAGTAAAGTTTGAAGAAAACATTAAATTGATGCTTCAACTACATAATATATTAGAGAATATGTATTATTTCTATATAGAGTTACACTCAGTTATATTTACTTATTACAGTAATTTATGTTCGCAAACAATACCGGATGTATAGTGATGGTTTCTTCTAAAATTCATCCTAATGATAAACGTCAGTGAAATATGCGTTAGTACCGCTTTCGTCGTGATTGTAAAGAAAGCAAATGATAACGAGGAAAGCATCGCAGACCTATGTTTTATTGCGGAATATTGTTGTTGATATAATGACATTATATAACTTAAGTAATTTAAAGACATATTCATATAAAAACATATTTGTAGAACTTCTTAACATTTTGAATAGTCTAAAAACAATTTAACGAGACCATTGCTCCTTCTGAGGCAGTGACCCATATGAAATATACCAACCCCCGGAGTGTTACGACTTAGGAACGCTGTAAGCGTAGGGTTTTTGTTCGATGATGAGACAACGCTGTTGCGTCGTGCAACCGCCTCGTGTTATATAAATTAATATTTTTTTAAATAGAATTAAGCCGTTTTTTCTCAAATTGCTTCGAATCGATGTTGATTCGAATCGCTTCGATTCAAAATTCTGAAACTTACATCCCTAGTGTTACATATAGACGTAATCGAGTTCATATCCGTCCTGATGAAAGTTGTAGTATCGAAAAATAGGTACCAAATATTCCATTCTTGTCTGACTATAAGCCGAACAACCTTCCGATTGCCAATGATAACCCTCTGATTTCGAATGATGTTCTAGTCTAGTCTGTCTAGTGCTAACGTGTCGCAGTTGCATCACTCCCTAGTTTGTTCTGTTGCTGTAAGCATCTCATGTTGTGTGTTATGCTGGTGTAGTAAAGAAGTGTAAGCGTATTCAGTTGAACCCTCATTCTATAATAGCTTGGGTATAGAACTTAACATATAACCAAGACATTTTTAACAATAATCATGTATATTCAGTAGTGGGATTCAGCCAGTTCTATAGAACCGTCTTAGGGAATTATATGAGATCAGCGTACCGGTTAGCGTTACTGAAAAAAATATGACTTTTTGTAATAGAACCGGCTGAAAAATATGACTTTTGTATGGATGGAACCGGCTGACAAAAAATTTGAATCCCACCACTGTGGATATTGTATATTAAAAGTCCGTGCATTAGTCCGACACCACCTGACTGGTATAAAAACCTATTTTGTACTGAAATAAAATTTCAGCTGTGGCAACATCTGAGATTATTTTATTGAAGTCAGTATTAGAAACGATTTTATTACCTCGTGACTGCGATGGTACACATACCTCTTTGTTGGGGACAATGCCATATAACTTGTTGAAGTCGCGCTCAAATTTTAGGAGATCAAAATGTTTTACTGCCGATTCTCCATTTATTAAGCTGGACAAATAGCTGTAGCTGTACTATTTGGTGAACACATGCTACGGTTATATATATGTTCACATTTGTTGAAATGTCACTAAACTCAATCGGCACGAACATGAGTTGTGTGGCGTCATGTACTTTTGAACAAATTATCTTAATTGCCAGAAATTTGCAAACACGCTTATGATGGAATTAACGTTTTTAGACAGGTTTCGAGTAAGTAAAAACAAACGAAGTAACACGGACACATCTGGTGTAATTGTATAAATGAATGCTTATGTCAGAAGTACTATCTGGACTTAATACTAAACCCATTGTACATAATTGAAATCGCAAGATATCATCATCGTAAGGCACAGTGTTAGAGAAGTTTTTGAATATTTAACGGTCTTGTTCAGTGCGATAATGAAAACAGTTCACGTTAGCATGTCCGTTCGTTCACTTGGGGGATTAACTTAGTAGAATTTTGTTGAAGTCATTTTTTTTTACAAAGGAGGAGGAACTTGGATATGAATCTCACACCTCGTTTACGAAATGGTATTGGTATAGAATTTTCAAATATCAAATACTGATATTTGAAATACAATCGATTTGTTTCATTTTATGTTTTTCCGAGCGAATATTTCATTTTCCTACACTTAGCCAGCTGTCACATGCCAACAGTGTATGAATTCTGCTCACATGTTGTGGCAAATGGAGACGCAAGTCAGCTGACTTGGCCAGCTGGCACTTATACCTTATGACAGGGGTCGAGAACCTTTTTGGCCGAGATAGTCATACGGATCCGCCGGCACAAAAGAATAGAAGAAGGATAAGTAGTTAGTCTCGCAGAAACCAAATCATTAGCATAGTCAAAAAAGGTACATATTTTCAATTGCATTTCCGTGCGAGCCATACAGCGGTTTCCTTTCCCTAATCATGTCTTAAATTTTTACTCAAAAGTCAACACATACAATGTCTCAATAAACTTCTAATATGACTTCTGATGCTGCATGTTGTCGTCCTTGAACGACTGTTCACATCCAACACATGTTGAAATCCACAATACTCATCGTCTTTCTTTCTTTAAAGCTTATCCGTAGTTCCTGAAATAATTCAAATATTACAAATAAGCAGTACAAACGGACGGAAGGCTTTTCTTTTATGCTTCGCAACTTTATCGTTTCGTGATATCACAAAATATGTTCCAGAATCCCCCAGTTTTGTCACAATGCCTGTCTGGCACTTCTCTCACCATAACATAGAAAAGCGCTGAGCGCGTGTTCTCAAGCGTATTGGCAAATGTTCTCCCAAATTTGGCTATAACTATATAGTTTGAAATCTGGTAGTAACAATTGTAATTTTAGCCTTGGAATATCAGATTTTTCTGGGAGCCATATGCTGTCATCATATATGGCTCGCGAGCCATGGGTTCCCGACCCATGCCTTATGAATCCTGGCGTACAGGTACAAATTTCTTTACGCACAAATGTCCGTGGGTTGAGAATTAGAGAACTTGAAGGTGAAGGCTTATTATGGTCACACATAGACTTATATATCTATTTATTATCATCGCTTCAATAAGAAATTATAACAAGTTGTTCCAAATGCATGACTTTCCGTAAACGATCCATGCTCATGCGCATCACCCAGCGACAACGAATGGTTTGCATAAATATAATAATCTATTGATTCTATTCTATCTATGACTGTCACGAATTCATACTTTTTTAAGATTCACTTACAAAGACAAATCAGATCATTGACGCTTTGCCAAGAAGTAAGTATTCCAATGCCATTTGTCTTTTGAATTATTTGGGAAATTTCTTTTTCATTGAACTTTATTCAAAATACAATCATATGAAACATACAATCATATAAAATTGTTGCATTATGTTATTTTCGCTCTGTTACAGAAGCATGGCCTAAATATCGACAATGTCAAATTTTATCTTCCATTGACATTTTAAGTTTTTATGTGTTCGAACTTTAATTTTTTGTTATTATTTAACCTTCACTACACAGGCACATACTGTTATATGGGAATGAGGAGCAGAGATATACCGGACTCAGCTATTACAGCTTCATCAATATACGACGAATATCATCAGGCGTATCATGGAAGGCTTGATAACAGAGCTAAAACAGAAGATTGTGGAAGATGGTCGCCAAAAAACAGTTAGTTTTAGTACTAGAAAATAAAACAATAAATAAACTTTATATGAATGTAATAAATCACGTACATTTTTGATTTTCTACCGCCAGATCAAAAGGGCGAATGGCTTCAAGTAGACTTCGGAAGATCGGAACTAGTTGGTGGAATAATTACACAAGGAAGAGATGCCGTTGCACAATGGGTGGCGTCTTTCACAGTATCTTGTGGTCTCAGCACTAGTTCTCTGGCTACCATCCAAGAGAGTGGGGTAGAAAAGGTACTTTAAAGACACCTCACATTCTCATTATTGCGGTGATTCTTTTCATTGGACACGGTTGATCGTTTTGTTATTATGATATTGTTGTTGCTATTATTTTACAAGTAGTCGTGAAAAATCGCTTTTCTCTCCAACTACCGGACCATTTTAAAATTCTCTGTGGTAAAAGATTGTTGTTATCGCTAGAAAGCTATTGCTTATATTCATTTCATAAATTTCTTTGAGCTCTATAGAATTCGTTTTTCACTCAAAAAAAATTTATGGTGACGTCATCAAAATTTACTTGTGGCATTTCCGCGATCGTATGTCTCGAACCCCTGGTCAGCGAAAACGAGAGCTTTTGATAAGCTGAAGGTAGACGGTAAGATAATAGGGTACGCAAGGCTACAGATACTGTAAAAGATTTGATATTGCAAGTGTGACTCGAATCATTCGGTATTCCGGTTCACGATGAGAATAGATGCATAAATCATCATCGACACAAGGCCTGGAAAAGCTAGGGTAGTCTACCGGTACTGATAAGTTAGGTAGCTGTTACCTTGTTCCAGCGTCGTCCAGGATGTGATTTTTGCGAACATTTTGGGAAAAATGTGATAATTATTTTTTGACCTGAAGCGCACGAAAATGTATTTTAAAAATATATGAAAGGTAGACGATAGTTTGTAGAAACTGGAAGCTGAGATAAATTTATTAATTCAAATATTTTTTTCTTAACTGCTTGTATTGCACGCAGATTTTGTTCGTCTTCTGTGGAGTCATTGAAAATATATTTAAATTTTCTCCAAAATGAATATTGAAATTTAGCGTTTTGTCCTTTCACTGGCATAATGAAACAATATGAGACCCGATGAAGAAACGTAGAATGTGCAAATAGGTCGATTAAGCCTTTTATGCTAGAAGCAAACCATTTTAATAAATACATTTCATATTATGAAACCAGTTCACCTCTATGTTTTCTCCAGATATTTGCAGGAAATTCTGACGTAGACACCAAGGTAATCAACATGTTCCCAAAACCAATCACTTGTCGATTTATCCGAGTTCACCCTCAGACTTGGTATATCTACATCAGTGGTTCTTAAACTTTTTCAAGCGCGACCCAAATCTGAGTTTTATGAATACTCGCGACCCAATCCTAAAAAACGCAAAATGTGTTTTTAATGTTAGTACAGTTTGACTCAAATACAGACAACTATTTATTAGAAACAGTCCATTGACTCAGTTAGATTGATGAAACTGAAATTTCCTTTTTCTTATATCTTCAATACACAGCTCTATTTTACTTAACGCAATACGCAAGTTGTCACGGGTATCGAAGCGATTGCGAGCTTAGTTTTGATAACAGTCAGTGCCAAATATCCTCGCTCGCACAAGTGCCTTGTCGCGAATTGTAGCAGAAAAGGCGTCCGCTGTCCGTCGCAAACACGACATCCTAGCTGGCCTTCGGTATCTCTGGCAATATACAACTTTTTACTCGTCACATGTGCACGCATTGCTTCGTTCGCGGTAAATGGTGCCTCGAGATGAAGTCACATTTTCTCTAGATATTGAATAATCTAATGTCGAGAAGCGAGCTTTTTCATTGCGTCGTCTATTACAATTTTCATTACCAAAAAGACACCCATTTTTGGTTATTTTAATCCACTATGACGACATTCCATGCGGTCAACACAACGACAAGCGACGTGCATGGTTACCGATACCATAAAAATAATACACGTGACTGGCATATCAGAATTGTGATGTAACAATGAGCTCAAGACAGTTCTTTCCGTGAATGAAATTTTATATTTCATTATTTTTAAATACCAGAGTTTAGAAGCTAAATTGAAACATTGGGAAAGCTGAAAATTCGTCCTTCTCCTCTTAAATTGCCCTTGCATTGACGACCTTGTCGCGACCCATTTTTAAACCTTCCGCGACCCATGTTCGGGTCGCGACCCATACTTTAAGAACCACTGATCTACATCAACATGAGAGTCGAATTTATCAAGGGGGTGTGTCATGATCTGTACATCTAATGTGATGACGTCGTGGTCACATTTATTTAACATACAAATAATTTCCCATAATTAAAGCCAATTTGAAAATATATTATGTATTATTAATCTGAACTGACTTCTTCAACCCAAATCAGTTTTACTATGATTTTCGCAATATTATTTTGTCACATATATATATATATAAACTTGCAAAAATTATTTTTTAAAACTTCATCACCTTGTAACTCTCTTTTATGTCCATGTAGTTTGTCTGTTCATGGTGACTTGATCTCTCTCGGCTTAAACGTTGTCTATCTATCTTACAAGTTCGTGGTATAACCGTTTTTTAAAAGTACCGGTTGAGAATTTTAGTCTATAGTCTATCATAGCTATTTCCACAATAATTTTTTATTACTGCAATTAAATTAAAACTCCTAGGAAGACAGAGGGATCATTGAATTATCTGATTTATATTTAAGTTTCCGAAACACAACAGAAAACTAACGAATAGAGTTCAAAAACACGAAAACGAGGTCATGTTTACGACCACGCTTGAAAATCTGTCTGAGTGAGAAAAGTGTCTGAGCGGATGCGAAAAAGGAACATTGTTACGTCACTTTTTGCATCTTGCTATTTGGCCAATGTCACGAAGTAAACAAGAGAGCTACGCACAAATATATGGACACGTTAGACCAGAGCGAATCAGTCCTTACCGGTACCTTTGACGCTACTGGTACCCTCAAAAAAGTTCTGAATTTCCAGTAGCAAGAATTTTGCAGAATCAAAACGTACAGCCAGTCATGACACTGACTAAAATCCGTGTTCCCACGGGTAAAAAATAATACAGCAAAATTTTAGACGAAATATCAAATTTCATAGAATTCACGCAAAATTTTGAAATAAATAAAAGTAATAGCCTTCTAGCGAAAAAATTAATCTTTCCCCACTGAAAATTTCAAAGCAATTGGTCCAGTATTCGAAGAGAAAAGCGACTTTTTAAAAACGTGTCAAAGAACAAGAACAACAACAACATAATATTGAAACGATCGTTATGTCCACTTCGTGTCCAACAAGGAAGTCGATGCTCGGGGAAAGGTTCATGAGGCATCGTCGGCCACATTTTTGCTGTGATCTGTCCATACTACAAATTATCTGCCTCAAGATCGTATGCTATTGACCACTCCAGACAGGTCATCGACTTGTTGTCGACCATAATCTATTAAATAAATTAGTCAGTGTATCATTTTTATTGAAAGCTGTGCTAAATCTTGTGCATTTCCAAATGCAGTGGCACTGCGTATTCATCAACATCTAAAACCTATTTTCTATATTTTTTTACTTTTACGACGGAAACCCAAAAACGAAATACATAAGGCTCTATTGCCGACTTCATTCAAAACCCGCAGAGCAGGGAAGAAATTGAAAGAGTGAGCTTGTATGAGTGTTACTCGTTGCTTTTTTAGCTTGGAATTCGAATTTAGGCGGCTTAAGTTGCTAGTTGCAATGATAAAAATGATAAGATCTGCCTCGGATCAATGGTTCTTTCCATCCAACTTTTTTCCAATTATGTACTCATGAGCCTATTTATTTTTATTCCAGTTCAATCACGATAAGGTCTATAGCACTTAACTAAAAGCAGTATTAAAACAACATGCTGACACTTATGCTACAATATAAGTTAACCTTGCAGCAGAGATGTTAACATATACAACTATTGTGTTGTTTACCTACCGTATCTCCCAATCTCAGTCACGATGAGTATCTCGATGGCTAATTAACAAATCTTCAATGGTAATTAGTAATTAATTTGTTCAATGTGGATTTAACCAGCAATAGTGTTTTTGTCTCCAGTGCAAACTTCAGTGAACTGAGTTAAGAGTAATAGTGTTATTGTTAAAACAATTGTGGACTGAAAAACCATGGATAATATTGTTCTATATGGACAGTTAGGCCCATCTGTGTGTCTTTCTCCAGTAATATCAAACGTGCTTTAGTGCAGTAAGCCTCAAATAAACAGCAACCAATAGGCAAACAATATATTGTAATTCCCAATGTTCTTACATCACGTTGTTGCACGATTAAATTAAATAGTTGCCTATTTGTTACGTCGCATAATTTTGATGGTTGTACAAAAATATCTCCCAGATATGTGCGAGCGTCTTTCCTACCTTACGTATAAGTTATAACATATTTCATTGCAGAATATATGTTCGCGATTTCAGCGGCTTATGAACAAAAAACAATGTAAATGATTTTGACGCCAAGTTTGCAAAACAATGCAAAGTCCGATTACGACATTTACGTATATGGTGTTCACGCGACGCCACATCGTTTTGCAATCCTCGTAATGAATGTGCAAAATAAACAGCTCAAAAAATGCAAATGAAAAAAGTGTCTTAACCTTCCCCACTTACCTCAACGTCAAAATTGCGTACTTTGTCGTTCACAGCTTGATTTCAGTTGTGCCATTAGTGTATCAGTGTGTTAGCGTCGGTCGCGGTTATGAACTATATATTTCAACAAATCTTGATTTGACATAGATAAAAATACCTAATTGTTATGTTCTGCTACGTTGTGTACTTATATTATATCTGGCTACTTCTAATAGCACTGACAGACTGATTTACGATTCAGTATGTTGTATTGCAGAAACTTGTATTTGTTATTCAAAACATTACACACAGATTGTATTGGATACAGAAGCACACACGACGCTAGCTGAACATAGAAACTAATAGTCAACTCTCGGATGACCCTTGACCCTAACTGATAGTTGCCATACATTACATCCCTTATTCTTTCAGAAGAAACATATACACTTACACTGAAATAAAAAGAACACAAAACAACGAAAACTGCATGCACAATGCTATTAAAGATTAAGCCTATTTGGAGGATGTATAATCCGACCACGCCTAGTAACATAGTATCTGTTATCTCTCTGATTATTTCGCAATGTAGCATTGTGGTTATCTGTTGCTCTGTGCCTATTATTAGGAGGTGGGCTGTGGGTATTTTCATTGTCAGAATCAACATGGGGATCATAATCAGAATCATAATGATGAGCATTTTTATTGGCAATGTTTGTAGATTTTCTAAGATGCTTTCTATTCCTTCTATATTTTCTTCCATTCGATTGAACAATATATGATCTTGGGTTTTGATGATGATCAATTATAACAGCAGGTTTCCATTGTTTAGAACCAGGTAATGGTGACATCCTGACATCATCTCCCTTTTTCAGTTCATCATGCTCTATCATACTTGATTTGTCATAGTAGTATTTTTGTTTGGCTTTCTCTAATGCCATTCTACGTTGTACTTCATTTCGATCAAAAAATGATGGAGCGAGCAAAGCAGTAGCTATGGGCAATGTATTTCTTGTGCGTCTACCATCAGAAGTTGTGCAGGTGATAAACCAATTCCTTCCAGTGGAGTTGTTCTATAGTCAAGTAATGCAAGATGCTTGTCTTCACATTTTCTCCACAGATTTTTGACAGTTTGAATACATCGCTCTGCTTCTCCATTACTACTTTGAAAGTACGGGCTTGACATTTTATGTTCAATACCATAGCTTTACAAAACTTTCTGAATTCATTCAGAATTATACTGACTTCCAGTATCAGAACGTATTAAGATTGGTATTCCATGTCTGCAAAATTGAGACTTCAGAGCATTTATTACAGATTTACTTGAAATATCACGAAGCTCGTCAACTTCAATGAATTTAGAATATAATCAACTGTTATTATGTAATTTCTTGCCTCAAATTCAAACAAATCAGTTTCCAATTTCTTGATATGGCAATGTAGGCGGAATTGATGGATTAAGTGGTTCTTTAGAAAGTGCTTTCTGATAAGTTGCACACTTTGAACAATTTTTACTAACTGTTCTACATCAGAGTTCATTGGATGGCCAAAAGAACACCTCACGAGCTCTTTGTTTACATTTAACAATGCCCCAAGTGTGACTCATGAACAAGCTTGAGAACATATTGCTGCATACTGGGGGGAATGACAATTTCTCATACCTTTGTAGATAATGCCATCTAAAACAGCAAGTTCACTGCGAGAATCCAGAATGGACGAAGTGAAACATCCAATTCTTTTCTCGTGTCTGGCCATCCATTTTGTATGGTCAATATTGCAGAAAGCTGAGGCTCTTCCTTTGTCAACTTTTGTAATTCCAAGTACTTTTCTTTGGATACTGAAATAAATCCATCATATTATATATTCCAATCCATAAATTTCTGATGACTTATCCGTTAAGAAGGCTCTAGACAAAGTATCCGGTAAAATCATGTCTACGCCTCTTCGATACTTTATTTCCAGATCATACCATTGCAAATTCATGAACATTTTCTGTATACCTCATTGGTATTGACAACCAAGGTTTCTTTGCAATCATTTCTAGAGGTTTATGGTCATTGGTATACTATAACTCTTTTTCCAAAAAATATAGCAATGAAATTCTTACAAGCATGGACAATTGACAATAGCTCTTTTTCTATCTGAGCATATCGCTTTTCAGTATCAGTCATTGCTCTTGACAAGTAAGCAATTGGTCGTCCCATCTTGCAACAGAACAGCACCTAGGCCATTTTGAATGCATCACAAATGAATTTCAACTGGTTTTGTGACATCATAGTATTTCAGAACAGGCGGTTTACAACAAAGTTCTTTCAATTTACAGAATGCCTCTTTTTGTGCAGATTGCCAACTAAATTCAACCTTCTCTTTTAGCAGTTCTCTGAGTGGTGCATCAACTTCACTAAATTTCGGTATGAATTTTGACAAATAGTTCAGAAAGACAGAAATCTTTTTACGTCAGACTTGTCTTCTGGTTCTGGCATATTGCGTACAGCTTGAACTTTTGCAGGATCCGCTTTCAAACCTTCAGAAGTTAATAAATGACCAATGTATGGTACTTCATTTTTTTCGAATCAAGCAATTTTTTTGAAATTCAGACTTAAATTATAGCTTGTTGCTTTTTGAATAACTTTTTTCAAGATCTCATCATGATGTTTAATATCCCGTCCAGTGACTAGAATATCGTCCATTATAGCAACAGCTCCAGGAATGTCTTCTAACATTCTATCCATAATTCGTTGATATAATTTCTGGACTACAAACTAAACCATATGGAAGACGTAACCAACGATATCTCCCAGCAATAGTATTGAATGTTGTTTAAAATGATGAATGCTTCATCCAGCTTA